GGCGGGAGGTGTTAACGACTCTACTTAGCATACGAATAGCCTAGCATATGCAAAGGCGCTTCAGCAGACCCACGTGGATTCTCAGTCATTGGATGAAAAACAATGACATCACAGTTCATCATTGACATGTGATTGGTTGGTTGATGTGTGCCCATTGGACAGCACTTATGTCTTTATAAATAAACCCCACCCCAATCATTAATATTTTTAATACTGTATTTTAAAAAAATATATATCAAAAATAAATGCTGTATTAAAATATATTCATTTGATATTGCTTATATGCAACATGTTCATATATGAGGAACATAAATGAGGCACAGAATTTTTTTTTCTTTATTTCATTTTTTTTTACTGTTTGCACACAAAATAAGACATAAATGCTTGTCCATTTCTGGATTATCTGGCAGTGTTTTTTTTTTTTTTGTCCAAACATGATCCAACATTATGCTGCGTACAGGACAGGCCCGACGTCTCTCCTGTAGCGTAGGCCCGACGTCACTGAGCTCCTGGTTGGGGGAACTTGGGGTCTCAACCTCACCACAGTCCATCCTGATACCCCCTCATAGCTGCCATCCTCCCAGAATGCCACCTCCTCTGCTGCCAGTACTCTCTGCCTTCCTCCATCAGCTGTTAACACAGAACAGACAATCATTATGAGCTACAGGCATCTTTTAGTCATTATGAAACTACAGTGAAAATGTTTGGCAACTTCCAGCTTAGTATGCACACATAAGACATTAAAACTAAAAAAAACAAAACAAAACAAAAAAAAAACATATTAATACATTCTTACAAAAAACAAAAACTTTAATGAAAAAGAGAAAACACTTGGAAACAATTGGAAGAAAAAAAAGAATTAAAAGCAGTTGGTAATAAATAGTAAAACATAGTTCAACAAACTCTGAGGCAGATAATTTGCCTTGATTGATTTTAATAAATTACAGTACTTTAATCATTCAAAGAATTGTGACATCTCTAGATCTTACCTGCTTCTTTCTTGAGCTACATCTGGATGACTGGCAGTAGGTCCTGGATGCAGATGGAAAACATTTTTGTGCATTGTCAATACATAGCATAATTCCATTATGTACATAAACAATATTGAAGCATAAAATATCAACATTCTAAAATAGTAGATACTCACACACAGTTGCTTCTCTGTCCTTGTCACGGACATCAGGACGTTCCTGAAGAGTCTGATTAACACAAATGTGACTCCCATTCTGTGGAGTGTCTGTGGAAATAAATGTAAAATTAAAAAAAATATTGTAGCAAATATATCGTTTTCTCAAAAATACATAAGTTAAAATTATTCTCAACCAACCATTATACAGTCGGGAATCAACGCAGTGACTGTACATAATACATACCGGCTTCATGACTTCGTCCTTATATCCGTCCTCCGTCCGCCATGTTGTCGATCTCTACTGCTTTCCACAGTCTGCCTTGCTGTACTGCGTTATAACAAAATAAATAAAATAACCGGAAGATCAGTTTTCCTTACAAATATGCGAGTATTCACTATTGACTAAATGTGAAATTATAACTTACTGAATTTAACTTCGTCCTG